CATCCCTTGTCTATTTCTTACACGAGATACCAGCCGATACCCCCCCCCCCCCGCTCATAAAGACTGCGTACAGTTTATCATAGTTCCTGGGCTCCCTGTGCTAGTACATTGACGATCACAGTCGTGAAGTGATTGGCGATAAATCAAGGTTGTCTTCTGAAATACCAATGCAATGTGACACTTTCTTTGACGTGCTTTTCGCTTATACTTTGCCAAACCATTATTAGTCATTATAATACAAACATGCAGGCATGGCATCACATGATAACTAGAGTGCCTGAACAACGAGCAAATAAATTGTGACTCAGCAATATTATTTCAACATTTCCCGACATTTGTACGAAATCCTGGTCATTTTTATCTGGACAATTTTTCACACAGCTGCAGTGCGAATAGTGGATATATTTTATGTTTACGAGCAGCTGTAGTGCGACCAGTCTCCGTCTTCAAGTAAACGTCGCGTCTCGCGTACAAGTAGGCATTAAGCTGTACATATACAATGTACAGTACACATATATTATGAAAATTTGCCCTTCAGGGTAGTACTAGAATGCACAGACATTATTCTTAGTACATAGGAAAATATGCAACTCATTTAATGCAATTTTTTAATAGTTACATATATATATAATTTTTTGCAATGGTTAAGAAAATATCAAAGTTTTAAGCTTACCTAACTCGTCCTGTGCGGCCATGTTTTTTGTATGTCACTAAAGTTAGCCTTACATTCTTATTGGTCATCATTCCTTAGTATTCTACCGCTTTATTCTCCACTCGACTGAAACAAATTGGAATCTGTGATAAACTTGTTTGATTTGATTTTTTTACTATAAAGCAGTTGCATCACAAAAAGAACCACTATATGTTTTGTTTAATTAATTTCATTGATGTTGTTTGTTCAATTTTGTAACAAAATATTTCTTGAATTTCATTAAACGAATACTTGCTCCGAATAAGAGAATTCAAACAGTTTCCAATATCTAATAAATCGAGCATGGAGATCAATTCAAATGATTACGTAACGTAATATTACTAGTCTGTGCATTGGTTTAACTTTGTGCAAATAATATAATAATCAACACTATAGAACTTCATATTTAACCATAATATAATACAAACTATTCTCATTTTAAGAAATACGTTGCATATTCTTCTTGGTGTACACGAACTTCAGAATATTTTGGACTTAAACGATTTCGAATCACACGCCACTAAGGCAACAATGTACATGTATAAGCCATAAGTGTACTGCGCTGGCAAATTATCGTTGACAAGTTGTGTTTATGTAAAGTTAAATTGGAATAGTGTTATTAAATTCCTATACAAGTTAATTTGGTTGTAAATATTGTGTAAATATTATTCATAAGTAATATTTCAAATCAATAGATTCATATTTCACCGTTGCGGTCGCTCGATCACCAGTCACATGACAGTTCGGTGGTCACCTGATCATCACTGCATGATGCCCAAATTCGCAGACTACGTCAGTGCTGCCGATTTCTTCGTGTTATTTATATTTTAAATCACATTTTCATTTTAATAACGCCCATAATGTGTACATAGCCCCTGTCCTTATGAACGCAAGGGGTCAATACGTTACACCAAACATTCGACGACACCGGGACAGTCAGCATGTGAGATTCAGTGAAGGTAAGTACTTCCCTGTAATTTGTTAATTTCACATAAAATGTTCGATAGTTGGGCCAGGGAGTGTAAACTAAACTAAACGTAGCCGCGGTTTCGCGTATTTTTGGTCCTGGATAGTTAGTACATGAGTGGGCATTAGAACAATGGTACAATGTTATTATTCTTAATCAGTTGTAAACGTAAATACGTCGATCATGTAGGAGACGGTCGATTCGTCCCAAATCACATTCGTCCCAAGTCGATTCGTCCCACAAGTCGATTCGTCTCAAGTCGATTCGTCCCACAAGTTGATTCGTCCCAAAGTCGATTCGTCCCACAAGTTTATTCGTCCCAAAGTCGATTCGTCCCACAAGTCGATTCATCAGATTTAAGGTTAGCCCACTACTAACTCGCCAAATAAGCACAAACACATCCAAACAACGAACTGTTCACGTACACGTCATGCACTGGCATGCGTAATTGTTCATTATGCCATTTTGTTTTTGCCGACGTTATAAACAAATACACCGTACACGCAACGTAGAGTTATTAGTTAATAAATACAAATACACCGTACATGCAACGTACAAGTTATTAGTTAATAAATAAATACAAACACACCTTACATGCAACGTAGAGTTATTAGTTAATAAATACAAATACATCGTACATGCAACGTACAAGTTATTAGTTAATAAATACAAATACATCGTACATGCAACGTACAAGTTATTAGTTAATAAATAAATACAAATACACCGTACACGTAACGTAGAGTTATTAGTTAGCGTGTCAGTAACAGTTGGCATAGAAATTGATCCTGCTCAAGATCGTAACGCTGACCAAAAATTAAAAAAAATGGACGAATGTGAATTGGGACGAATCGACTTGTGGGACGAATGTGAATTGGGACGAATCGACTTGTGGGACGAATGTGTTGGGACGAATGTGAATTGGGACGAATTGACTGTGAATCGATCATGTTACACATTAATTGTTCTGTAACATTGTTGTTACTAACAACTCTCTTGGACACAATAAAGCACGCATCTAGCCTACCACTACTAACCAGCGATTCTTACAGTCAGGACTAACCAAACGAGATATATTCCCTTAATGTGATACAAATGCATCTCAAGCAGGAACTGTTGTGTTGTCTTGTTGGCACAGTACTGTACACCACCCAATGTTGTGTTGTCTCGTTGACACAGTACAGTATCCACCCAATGTTGTGTTGTCTTGTTGGCACAGTACTATACACCACCCAATGTTGTGTTGTCTTGTTAGCACAGTACTGTACACCACCCAATGTTGTGTTGTCTTGTTGACACAGTACGGTATACCACCCAATGTTGTGTTGTCTTGTTGACACAGTACTGTATATCACTCAATGTTGTGTTGTCTTGTTAGCACAGTACTGTACACCACCCAATGTTGTGTTGTCTTGTTGACACAGTACGGTATACCACCCAATGTTGTGTCGTCTTGTTGACACAGTACTGTACACCACCCAATGTTGTATCGTCTTGTTGGCACAGTACTGTACACCACCAAATGTTGTGTTGTCTTGTTGACACAGTACGGTATGCCACCCAATGTTGTGTTGTCTTGTTGACACAGTACGGTATACCACCCATTGTTGTGTTGTCTTGTTGACACAGTACGGTATACCACCCAATGTTGTGTTGTCTTGTTGACACAGTGGCGTACACAACCCAATGTTGTGTTGTCTCATGTATGTAAATGTGTTGAAATGCACGTAGTGCGAGTGGTTAGTGCTAGTAGCACTAATCCGAAAAAGTACTAGATCTAGTGCTAAAATGGCACTAGATCTAGCACTAAAATGTTTACAGTGTGAGTGGCATTGTTATCGCATTCATTGTCAACAACGTCGAATAATAGGAGGGGCATCAACAACCACTTTCATATGCAAACTACAAACAGTATAAAACATCGGCAATATGCGCAAGATGTCTATAATAATACTTTCTATATATAATACCGGATTCTGTCGTAAATTCGCCCATCCAAAAAATCGCCCTGGGGATTTCACGGCTGGTGGGCGCTTATTTGGGGTTCAAAATTTCAAAAAATAATCATCAAATATTTTTGGGGGACTTCCATTTTCATAATGAAGTATCCAACTACGCAGACTTTCAATGCCGTCAGTTGGGCCACCTAAGACGAAAGAAACTACCGAGGATTACAGAATTAACAATAATTAATAATTCTTGCTGAATTAAAAAGTATACCGCCTGAAATTTCATTACAATGTTCCCCAGTGTCATTTTTCAAATACATTTGTTTTCATTTTATTGATAATGAAAATATATTTTAAACACAAATGCATTGCGTAGTAGCAAACGATCACAGTTGCCCAATCCGGTCATTCTGCGTTTCACAATTGTTGATTATTACCTAGTAATGATTACAATAACGTGCAAAAAATAAATTCATTGAATTGTTATGAAATTCAAATAAAATTCAACTTAGTTTCATCGTAAGCAAATGATTCCGATCGCATATAAACACTTGATGCTGTATGGTATCCGCCATGTTTCTCTTGCTTGAGTTGAGGTCAAATCGCTAATTAACCAATCAAAATGCTGGATGATGCCAACGTGTTCAAATCACCATAGCTCATTTAAATATGTTAATGTTATTGAATGCATCGTGGAAGAGATTTACCGATGTTGTAGTACGATCTTTTGGCTTGGATTTTGATGGGGAAAATGGCATGATTTTTTTTTTCAAATCTAAAAATAGTTGTTTTCAAAAGATGAACTGAGCATTAGAAGAATAATTTAACATTGTTTACAGTGATAACAGCTCTTTGTCCAAACGAAGCTTACCCATTCACACTAGTCACAATAAACACGCTCTTAAATAAAAATAAATAAATAAATAGATTATTTTAGGCGTCAAGAAAGATTAAAATGTCCGAAAAATTACGCCAAAATATTTATAAAAAAAAACTTTAAAAACTGCTGAAAAATCACCCTTCCACGCATTATGAAACTATGATTATCACACATGCGCACTGGGTTTGTTTAGCTGTGAAGGGTTAAAATATGCATTTCACAACCGGAAATTCAACAGACGAACTTGTTACTTCACAGATTTCACATGATTTAATTATTAGCAACTGTAACAAGAACAAGATTTCGAGAGTCTACAACAACAAATCCTAAGGACTCCTAAAAAATATCATTACAGAGAAAGTGTCTAGACATATATTATTATTATATGGTCACGTTAAAAAATCGGCGAGGTTATATCATATTCCGCTAACTGGTTACTTGTGTAAGCATCGACATCAAAGATGAGCTAGATTAGATAATGTCCTTATCAGGATTAACTTAGGTTGAAACAAAAGGAAATAAACCACTTAAGAGGCTTAAATGATCACTTGAGATGCGTTGTGGCTCCTTCCGTTACCGAATGCTTGAGATTAGCGTAACCCATTGTAAGAAGGGGCTAAGAGCTAACGAGACCAATGTTTGTGAACGAACATTGACAAACAACCATAGGGTAAAGCTAAAACTATAGCGTCTTCCGTTAGTACCTCTCCATGGTACAATGTAACAACAGGATTGCGTTAATCCACTTTTACCATTGGTTGATTATGTCTGCAAAGATCAATGTCATGACAACCAGAGGTTCATTTTCTGTCTGGTTGCCAGCGATACTGGGCAACATGCCCATTCACAGGTTGCCATACACACAAAATCCAATGAACTTTACAGGGACCCGGGACTTAGACTAGCAGTATACACATTTTTAGCTCCGCTGTTGACTTTGTCGAGCGGAGCTTATCATATGAGTGATTGTCCGTCGTCGTGTGTCAATGTTTTACTTTTTCAACTTCTTCTTGAAAACTACAAGCCTGAATGCTTTGATACTTGGTGTATATGTACCTTGGGTAGACCTCTCTTAGATTTGTTCATTTCATGATGATATCTTCAATTCTAATTTTGGTGAATATTTTTGTAATTTTTGGTAAAAAGTGATATTTTCGACTTCTTGTTAAAAACTGCAAGTTCAATTGCTTTGATATTACATATATAGATACTACATGTGGACTTTTCTCAGATTTGTTCATTTCGTGATGATATCTTAAAGTGCCTGTGCAATGCCCACCCTCACGTTTCCCATTTTAGATCTGTGTCCCACTGAAATGGGCAGTTATTGATTTTTTTGCCGAAAATGAATACTCGTATCCAAGTAAATTTGGGATATTTCTCGTGTTGTAGCCACGCCCACCTATCCTGAAACGGTCGACTGTTTCCCGATTTCCAACTCTCACCGAAAGTGTGCCACCAAATGCCAAAATGTGATAGGAAGTCATACCCCTGAGCCATAATAACACTGGTCATTCAGTATACTTTTAAACAATATACATTTTTCGGTCGGCGTTTTTTTTTTCTGTTTTTTTTTGTCTATTTTATTTTTTTTGAGAGAGAGTTTTTAGATGTTGTGTTGTGGGCAGTTGCAGTGAAACGTATAGTCATAGTGTAAGTATTCACACGTTTTTAATCGATCCAAAGGTGCGACATCAGTGGACGAAAGCCACTTAACCTCAGACTCTTTTTTGGAGAAACTGTTCTCGTCCATGAAAAAACAACTAGGTTTGAAGAGAAACGCCGACAACAAACCTGGCACAACACTTTTGAAAGAAGTAGATTCCGAACCATGATCACCGAGGCGGATTTCAGAAGAGAGAGACGTTCGGCAAGTGTTTCAAATGAGTTGACTTTTTTGCGATCCTGATTATTGTCCATTTAGTCCCTGTTAAGTAAAAGGTAGCAATAATTCTGACAGTGACACGAAAACGAAGCGTCGGACAAACAGGAAATTACACAGCCCTTACACTCTGCTAATTGTTTTCATTTTCGAAAGCTAAAAGTTTTTTAATTGTTTGGTGATTGGTGTAAACTGTTGAATGTCGAATTCACACCTCTGTTCTTTTTTTACCTCCATGCTTGCAGCTTGATCTGCGTAATAATTTATGAAATAAGAATCCGGGCTTGGTCAATGTGTTTCCACCAAATAAAGTTTTAATATGATGTTATAATTATGAGAATCACTCCATGGATCATGATAATTCGAATCCACTCTGAATTTATCTGTATGTGTGTCGATCCCGATTATTTTTGTTATCC